CTATCGTGACGACTTTGAGCAAACTAAGGAGATATTCCATCTATGCAGGTGTTAGCTTAGCTCATTATTATAATTATTATTTTACAGAAAAACTGAGCATATACATACCTCGCCGTATGCCCTTACAGACACGATATTCAGTCCGACCAGAACGAAGAGAAATATGAGACTGAACGCCCATCCCGGAAAGGAATCCGTCCAGTACTTCAGCAGAAGCTGTAACGCGACCAAATCTGCCGCTGTTGAAACCGCATCATTGAACCAGTAGTTCCAGGTTAGAGCAAAGCCAAAAGCATCATCCACAAAGCGCCTGTAAGCCAGTTAGCAGTGCATCTACGCATAAACATAAGTATAAACAAGAGCTTACCCAGCATATGTACAGAAAGACCCGGCAATAGGTACAAAAGTGGCCATCTCGCCGAGAGACAGCATGGTGATGAAGACGATGGCTCCTACAATGGAATATGATATCAACATCGACGCTGGGCCTCCAGTAGCCAGAGATTTGCCCGTTCCCAAGAACAGTCCCGTCCCAATCGTGCCTGCAATCGCAATCATCTGCACCTGGCGAGCAGAGAGCTGGCGCGCAAGCTTGTCCGAGACCACTATCGGGGCACCGTCAGGCTTCTCTGCTTCTGAGGGCATCGACTTTTCCACATCGCGGCTCTCAATCGTAGCCGGAGGCTTGATCTCGTCCTGCATGTTGGAGGATGCCATCTTGTCTGTTCTACCCTTTGGCGGCTGAGAAGGGTCTAGACAAAAGACCAACCCAAGCCGGTGGATGGACCGACTGCCTTTATATAACAATCTAAAAGCCGAAAGAAGAGTCAACGGCCCGTACCCGGTCAGCCGCTCGATAGTTACCAGCACATACCAAGCCCGAGATAGAGACGAAAAACACAGTTAGCTATATCCTATGCTTCTCTCCGGGACATGCCATGTATGCCATAGTTCAACCCATTCTCGAGAGGAACATCGGGTGGCGAAGAAAATTTGGTGCTGATATTGCGTGCCCTGGACCTTGCCCGCAAGTCTCCAGAATTCCCAGCGAACCAGAAACCAGGCGGAGACGCAAAGAAGAAGCCATCCGAGCTTACAGACGGGAAGTTTCTAATTATTAAGCCAAGCACGAGAGGTAGCGAAAGGATGTCTAATTAGATCTCCAAGTTCCCCTAGCTGCTGGGCCAGCGGCTTGGCTTGAGAGTCACCTCGACACAGAAAACAGCTGGGAGAGGCCGCTTGGGCCGGAGGAGAACTGTAGAGATGGAATCCTGGAGCCCGGAAGGCATCCTGCTGGTTCTTTACCTGCTCTCTGGCTCGGCGTGAGTGGTGGAAAGGAGAACATCCGGGACAGGGCTCCTCGTACAATCCTGGTCGATATACCGAGACATCCCTTGCACCAGGCCGTCCAGCTGGATAACCCCGCAAAGGAACAACGGAATACGATGTAACGGCAGAGAATATATTTTCGCAGCGCAAGAGTTGCACGTCGTCTTTTTTGTTCAAGTTTAGATGGCCAGGCCGTGGTGGTGTTGCCGATTCTGGCGCGGCGCAAAGATATCGGCCAAAATTATCACCAACTACAAGTCCAAAAGGCCACAATGGAATGTTCTATTTACTAATGGGTATAGAAGATACTACATCCTTATGGTTCCTGACGTATCCAAATGCATAGCATGCAAGAAAGGAACAAAGCAGAAGACAAAACTGACTATCCAAGTAAACCGCTGGCAAAAGCTTCCAGGTCCTCCAATGTCTGCATTTCAGCTGGCTCGTCAAAGGTGATTTTGGTAGCCTTTTTCTTCACTTTCCTGTCGCTGGTATCATGGTGGTCGTCTCGGGCCTTCTTCTGTTTCTTGCTAGGAGGCCTGATTTCATTCTCTTCCATTTCATCTTCCATAGCATCTCCTCCCTCGGCTTCCTCATACGGCGCCAGGTATGCAACAGGGCTGTCGCCATCCTCTTTAGCGGCAGCCTCTCGCTCTGCCCTCGCTTTCGCCCGACGCTGTTCTTTCTTTTCCCGCTTCTTCTGCTTGGCGATCTCTTTGTCACGAATATCTGCCAGCCGTGCTCGCTCAGTCTCGAGTTCGAGGAACTTGGCTCTCTGCTCTGCTGCATCTCCTCGTTTCTTAAAATCTTCTTCATTCTCCAGTTCATAGATTTCATGAGCATTGCCATCATCATCATAGACTAGCTTCTTGCCAGGATTCTTGTACTTGAGTAGCTTCTTCTTAGATTGTAGAAGCTTCTCTCGCCGGTTTGAGTCGATAAGGAGCGGCGCTCGACCGTCGATATGCACTGCTCGAACACCTCCAGTTGCTTCCTTCACTTGTATACCAGAATCATTGCGAGATTGGCCATCAAGCTCCTCGTCTTCCTGAACCTCGTACCTCCGTTTCACTGCAAGGAAATCGTCCTCACCATTAGTAGCATCATTTGTCTGGTCACCGTCCTTATCACCTGCCTCTTCATCGTATATAAGTTTGGTATAATGTTCAGTGAAAACGTCTTGGTTTTTCCTTTCAAACATCCTATCGTACTTGGTCCGTACTTCAGGCTCCTTGACTTTCTTCTTTTTGCCTCCAGCAACCCCATCCTCGTCGTCATCCTCGTCACTCGAAACAATCTGTAGCCGTCGAGGAGCATTCTTTAATGACTTGGTATCCTCTCCCTTGATAAATTTGATGCGCGGCGCACCAGGAAGACCCAGGCTTGCTGTATATTCTTCTAGTGGCAGCGCCTTCACGTCAAACACCTCCTTATCCTTTTGGATGTGTATTGACTTGACATACGAGGTAAATGCCTTCTGTCCGAGATATTTGAGCTGCGGATCTTTAAAACACATGTTTTGCAGCTGATGCTTTATGCTCTGCTGCTTGTTGGCCCGGATATTTATCTTTTCGATTGGTATCTTTTTCTGCTCTAGGCGAGAGAGCATACCTACTTCCTCACTAGGATCGAGAAATAGCACCGCTCGTCCGTCTCGCTCATACCGTGCGGTCCTCCCAACCCGATGTATGTATGTATCCGAATCCTCGGGGCAATCCAGCTGAATGACCCAGTCAACCGCCGGAAAGTCAAGTCCTCTTGCCACCACGTCTGTAGCAAACAGACACGAATTCTTTGAAGCAGAAAACTTATGCGTGATATCAAGCCGTGCGCCTTGCTTCTGCCGGCCATGAAGATGTAGAAGTGGTATTCCCGGCTGCATTTGTCTAAAGGCCTCGTAGACGAAACGGACCTCCTTACTTGAAGAAAAGAAGACGATAATCTTGGACTTTAAACTGCTCCGGATAAAGCTCCACAGGGTATCCAACTTGTCGGGCAACGGTGTTACTACATAATGCTGCTGTAGAGTAGACGGCGTCGCACTTGAAGCAGCCTGATGCACAGAAATGTACTCCGGATCCTGTAAACTCAGCCGCGCAAGATCAGACACTTTCTTCGTCTGCGTGGCGCTGAATAACATCGTCTGTCGTTCCTTAGGGAGATGTTCCACAATCGCATCTACTGTGCTTTGAAATCCCATGTCCATAATACGATCTGCCTCGTCCAGCACCAACATTTGTATATTATCCGTATCGAATGCCGCCGTCTGATCCATGTGCTGTAGCATACGTCCGGGAGTACACACGAGAATATTCATCCTTCCCAGACGTTCTTGCTCCTCCTGTAGACTTTTCCCTCCGATGATAAGGCCCGCCGAGAAGGTATGATATCGACCAATTTTCCGCAAAACCTCAAATATCTGTATGGCCAATTCACGAGTCGGCGATATTATCAATGCCCCCAGTCCATCGTATTCCGTCCATTGTTTTCGAAATAAATTTTCCAGCACCGGGACGAGAAATGCCAGAGTCTTCCCGCTTCCCGTTTTGGCGGCACCGAGTATGTCTCGTCCTTGTAGCGCATGAGGAATCGCACGGGATTGAATATCTGTCAATTCCTTAAAATGAGACGCAGAGAGACCCAGCGTTGTCGGCTCAGAGAGTGGAAGGTCCGTGAAGCTCTCGATCGCAGCTTTGGTATCAAGCTCTGCGACTCGTTGTTTGAGCGACGCTATGTCATCTTCGTTCCTCTTTCGTTTCAGTATTCGAGGATTCTGACGAGTTTGTTTGGTCCACGGCTTCCCATTCCGTGACGAGCGATCCTTCGCCATCGTGAACCGCCTAGAGTAATTATCCAACTCGTTCGTCTCGTCCTTGTTTTCGTCTCTGCATGTTCTTCATCTCGAACTTTTTGCTTTCCAAAAAAAAAAAAAAAAAAAAGCTGTTGGCTGTTGCGTTGCTTAGTCATCTTATCGATAAGAAATACCGCGTAAAGCGAAATTCAACGTCGAGACCAACCATCAAGCCGCATTGAAGTATTGAAGTATTGAAGGGAAAAGGAATCTGGGCGGATACGGCACACCTAGATAATAACGCAGAATCAGACGAGAATATGGCTGCCGATGACGATCTTGATGCTCTCGATTCGCTGAATTCCCTAGAGAAGGAAGCTTCTGAGTTCACCAAGGTATGGCTAGATAGCCAGCTCCTACTAAACCGCTCCACAGCTAACTGGTATACCCCAACATAGGATGCAGAGATCGATCGCATAAGAAAGGCCTTCCAACTCGATGCGTATGTGGTATCCAGCTTAATTTTGGCCGTATATTTACCTACGGAGAAAAAAGCTGACAAACATTGTTAAATAGCTACGCGGTACTTGACCTACAGCCCGGCGTGCCCGACTCTGATATAAAAGTCCAATACCGGAAAAAGTCTCTGCTTATCCATCCTGACAAAACCTCCAACCCAGCTGCCCCAGATGCATTTGACAGGCTTAAAAAGGCGCAGACGGCTCTACTTGATGAAAAACAACGAGCACATCTCGACGAATGTATAGCGGACGCGCGACGGTTGCTAATAAGAGAACACAAATATACACTTGATTCACCGGAGCTTAAGACTGAAGCGTTTAAAGAGGAATGGAGAAAGAAAACAGTGTTTGTCTTGTTGGAGGAAGAGGCAAGGCGCCGGAGACAGCTGAAGGGTAGGATGCAAGAGGAAGGAAGGGAGAAGAAGAGGGAAGAGGAAGAGTTAGAGGCACGAAAGCGAAAACGAGATGAAGAGAAGGCGTGGGAAGAGTCGAGGGACACCCGTATTGGGAGCTGGAGAGATTGGCAGAAAGGTAGGAAAGGTGGTGATAAAGAAGGGAAGAAGAAAAAGAAAATGAAGGTTTTGGGATAGTAGGGTGCATCACGTTTCTGGGACAGGGGATTCCTTTTCTACACTAAGGGTCGATTGTGAGAGTATACGGTCTTGAGATTGGAGTTCCAAGGGAGTTTGAGATGCTGATACTGTTGTGCTATGGTTGAATTTCTGTATTTTCCTTATTCTTCTTCATATGGATAGCATGCTGATAAGTAAATAAAGAACACACTAGATCGGGCTTTTCTGAATACAAACATAGTTAAACTGAAACGTAGGTCATAATGATATGTGCCACCATTCGCTGACCCAATGCTCACGTAGGGACAGTTGTCACCACCCAAAAGTTGTAATACAATTGAAAAGAATAGATAGTGGGATAAAACTTTTTGTGAATGGGTATAGAAGCCAAAGAGGATCTGGAACGTGATATATATCGCGGAAAACATCATACAATATTAGGGATATCTATGAGTGAGTCCAAATAGTATATACGAAGAAAATCGCAACGAATCAAGGAAACAGGGCTTGATACCACATTGGATCAGACTTCCTCATTTCGTTTTTGAGCTTCGGTAACGGCATGCTCCCAGCTCGTTTGAGTCAAGAATATGCCTTCGATCAGGCCAACAAGGAAAAGACCAATGGCAACACCACCCCATAGACCCCAGAGATTCCAATGTAGCCCGAATGCAGTGGCCATACCAATAGGAAGCGCAACAACATAGTAGCAGAAGAGCTGGGTGTACCCTCCGATGGACTGCCTTCCAAGGCCACGGAGCACACCATTACAATTGGTTGCAAAGGCATCAAAGAGTTGGAAGGAGGCACAAAGTGGGAGGACTGCTGCGATTAGCTCCATAACGTCCTCGTCTGAGGTAAATAAGGCAGGAATATAGAAGCGAAGGGTAGAGAGGAGAGTGACGTTGATGATGCCCACGATGATTGCAGCGCTCATGTTGACCTTGGCGGCAACACGGGCGGCATCGGGAAGGGAGGCACCAATGAAATTTGCAATTCGGGTACTTCCAGCAATGGATAGAGGGAAAGGAATCTGGAACATGATACCAGCGATGGTTGCAAGGACAGACTGGGCTGCAAGAGTAGTAGTACCAAGGTAGGCGGCTGCTAGAGTGAGAATCTCGAATGCGAGAACTTCTGCTTCCATCATGAGGAAGCCTGGTAGGGCAAGGCGGATCATAGGGCCCCAGTTTTGGAATGCTCGATAAGTAAACCCGTTCCAGCATTCCATTCCAGCAAAGAAGTAGACATAGATAAATAGAAGAACCGGGAGAAGGTTATCTGAAACGATAACCGCAACGGGGGCACCGACGAAACCCATTTCCAATTTCTAAAGTAAAAAGTCAGATAAATGCAACTCAGGATATAATAGAGAGGAAAGGGGGGCAGGCAATACCCAAACGAAGAACCAGTTCATAAATGCATTGGCTGGAGCACCGATTAGAAGAACGTAGAGTGAGGCGGAGAATAGACCCTGAGCCTGCACATATCGTTTGGCTGCTTCAAAAAGTGCATATCCTGGAGCTCCAAGGATGGCCACTTTCAAGTAGAGAGCGGCCAGCTCGGCTACCTCCTTGTTAGGGACAATGGCCTTCAGGACGTGGCCGGCGAAGAACCAGAATATGCCAATCGGAATGGTCATAGTCCAAAGGAAACAGACCATTCTCTGCGTCTGGAGACCGACGAGTTTCTTGTTCCCAGAGCCATATGCCTGAGCACAGAGGGTATCCAGGCTGGTTGCAAGGCCTTGATAGACCGCATAGCCACTGATATTGGCCGTCATACTGGCTAAGCTGACAGCGGCCAACTCAACCTTGCCAAGGTGACCGACGGTAAATATACTGGCTATGGTAAGGGAGTACTGGAGGAGGAAACTGAATATCAGAGGAGCACTGTATTGCACTAGCACTTTTGTCTCCCTCAACCATGTCGTCTTGACCAATCCGGCCATCACCGCATCATCCCACTTCTGGTCAATGATAGCATCAGCAGAAGCATCTCCTCCATTAGCAGAAGCATCTTGACCGTTCCCTAAAAGCGAGGTCGTCTCGGTTGGTTTGGTAGATGGCCCCTGGCTCGATCCTCTCTTTGTCTTGCTTGCTGCGCAAGAGATGGCATTGTCTTCCAGCAGAGTCCGTTCCTCTTCTCGAGCTCGTTCCCGTTCTGCATTCGTCAGGTTGTCTGCTTCGTGGGCATGCGGCACGACTGTCCCTCGAGCACCGCCCATGGTGAAGAAGCCGGGTCTCCGGTATGAGCCTGCTAGGGAGTGGGAGCCGCTAACCGTTCTAGCTAGTGGGGAGGTACCGGAGAGCTGGCCGTCGATATCAGTTGCCCGTGGGGGGATGTTTTGGGCTGGAGACGGCATCCTGAGGGCTCTGGCTGCGCAGGCTGCAATTGACAACCTTCTGTTTGATATGCAGGCAAACGGAATGGATGGCAGAGGAAAGACGCTCTCAAGCCGGAGGGAATTGGGTCTTCAGCTCGAAGTAAGAAAAAGAACGGAGAGAAAAAGCAATTATCCCGGCTCCTCCAAGGAACCCAGTCTCAGGACAGATCAAGGTTGTATCCAGCATCTCCATCTCCTCTCTCCGACATGCGTCCATGAGGAATCGAAGCTCTTCCCTGCTGCTGCTGCGCTGACAGTTGCTCTACTTGTCTGGCTGATATCAAAATCAAAATCAAAATCAAAATACTCGATGGTGTTGAGGTTTCCCGATGAGGAAAGTCCAAGCAGATAGTCACGTGATAACTACAGGTCCCGTGACGTCCCTTTTGCGCTTCGGGACAAAATAAAGAAGTGCGAAGTAAAAACGACGACGACGGCGACGACGGAGTCGACGGGGAAAAACGATAAGAGCGGACAGAGAGCGAGCAAAAGGAGATAATGATAAAGACGATGTCGCATGCCCCCGAGGTCGACATCGAGGATGAGCCTTCTGGCAACCCCTTTGGCCGGCTATCGAATCCGTTCCGCATCAAACCAGTGAACGTCACCAAGTTCGTATCAACCGCTTGAACTACCCGATACTCTTGCTTAAGAGTCATCTCATCCCTGCTTGATCCTTGATAGGGATCGTGGTGACTGCATGCTAATATAGCTACGTGTGCTGGCAGACAGGTAGCGTCTAAAAAGAGGGTGGTCTTTACACAGCCTATCTTTGGGGCCCTATTGCTGGAGAACAGCGCATCAGACGCACGAGACCACTGTGCCAACGAGCGTACGTTCCTAGCATGGCTCCGGCTATCCATGTACCTCTCGATCGTGTCGAGTGCTATCGTCCTGTCCTTCCATCTCCGAGCCCAGCCGACGGCCTTGGAGCGTAACTACGCTCTCCCGCTGGGAATACTGTTTTGGGTGCTCTCTATCGGGACCATAATCAGCGGAGTTGCAAATTATATTCACACGCTGGCCAAGTATAGTCGGCGTGCTGCGTTGGTACAGAGCGGTTGGAAGACACAGGTTATCTTCTGCATCGTCGCTATTGTTATTATCGGAACCTGCGTCCTCTTTTTGAGTACTAACAGGAGGTAACGTTCGACACTTTTATACCTGCTTACCTGCCACTTTACTACCAACCTCGCTTGACTAATCTCTATATACAACAGAACCATGTCTACTTAGGGTCTCAATCTGCTTGCAGGAGTCTGGATGGATATATTTGGTCTAAACGGCATTTGCATTGCTTCTTTCGATACCCATCATTTAGGCAACGTCCCTAAAACTTGCATTATACCATCATTTGCAGGCTGTGTTGTCCATGCATTCATTACATTTCTTTTACGCATTTTAGCATGCTCTACCAAGGTTTGTGGACATAATAACATTCTTTTTTGCTCCCGGGGTACTTTTTTTTTTTAAAAAAAAAAAAAATAAAAAAAAAATAAAAAATAAAAAATAAATTAATTATATATTTTCACTTCGCTATGACGTTGAGGCCTGACAGAGCATACATTTCATATCCATCAATCAGTTCTTTTAAATTAATAACCCGAACATTATTCAGCAACCAGTCAATATATGCGTCCCTAACTACATTCTACATATCTTCTTGTCGTTGGTGTACTTCCTGAAAGAGTCAGATCCAAAGTTCTCCCACCACTCGAACAGCTTGTCGTCGCAGATGAGCTTGAACCATGGAGTGAACTTGGCACTTGGGTCCTTGAACATTGCCTTTAGCTCGTCAGGAGTGACATACTTGACATCACGGACCTCGTTGGGGTTGGGGTTCAGTTCGACGTCTGCCTTGATGAAAAGGATGTAGTCAACTGTGATGAACCGTTAGACCTCCTATGTTGACAGTGATTCCCCGTATAGAGGCAGGAACAGGGAAAAAAAGCTCAACTCACCCTCATGTTCGCCCCATTTCCCATCGTCACCACTGGGAGCAAGATAGTGAATTCGAGTAAGGAACTCGAACTTCTCCGCTGGAACCTGGGCTTCCTTTATCCCTAGCTCCTGGTCTAGTTTCCTCCTGGCAGCGGTGCGGGCACCCATCACAGCCTGGTTAAGGCCTGCTCCACTAGCCTCCATCTCGCTCGGGATGGCAAGGGGATGAGAGCAGCAGGTGTTTGTCCATAGGTCTGGGAATGTGATCTTCTCCGTGGCACGCTGCTGGAGCAAAAGACGGTTCTGCGAGTCGAAGAGGAAGACGGAGAATGCACGATGGAGCAGCCCACGGCTGATGTTGGTCATCAGATGGCCTATGTAGGACATACAAGACAGCGGGTTAGTTGGTTCAGCAGATCGGACAAGCCTTTGTAGCCCAGATATATGCATGTATATAGATCGCAACGTACATGTCTTCTTGCTGCCAGATGCAATCGGCTTGTCATCAGTGTCCACGACGATACACATCTCGTCCATCAGCTTGACCTGGTCCTCGTTGTAGCCGTCGAGTTCTCCGCCCACTCGAGCAGAGCTGGCGCCGCCAAACTGAGTATCGACATCGGGGAACAGCGTCGCAACGTTCCCCGTCGTGATGGCCTCCGTTACACCGGCTGTAGTCGACATGGCGATGACCGGTAGAGCTCTCAGTGTAAAACGGGGAGAGGAGGAGGAAGAAGCAGGTTGTTGTCAAACAGCGCAGATGGCGAGATTTCAGCACAGCAAAATCACCAGATATTCAATGACAGCGAGTCCAGAGCAGTAGAATGTGCGAGACGAGTAGAAAGCGACGTAGCGAGAGGAGGACGTTGAAAAGGGAGATGCTTGACTGTCTGGCGCAAATTTCAGTGACGCCCATATCGAAATATTATTCCTGCGAGTCAGCGTGTTAGTTGAACTCAGCAGCGCAGGTGGGGTAAACGCCGGCGGGTCAAGATTGAAATTCCCCAAAGGCGCTTTTTGGCTCCGCCGAACGAACAACTTCATCCGCCGCGCGCTGTCGCAGGGCAGCCAGTAACTAGTGAGCAGAGAGAAAAAGACCCCGATGTACCTTTTTCCTTTTGCCCTCTTTTCGTTTCTCTCGCTGATTG